TAAAATACCTCTAATTTATAAAAATTAAAATTTTTTAAAAAAAACAACTATTTACTTTATAATTGAGATATTATTACAATTCAATTTTATAATAGGTATTTTTACTCTAGACGAAAATTGAGCGAGTTCTACTCAGAATGCGTAAACACATGCGAGTGAGATGTCATCTTAAATCGTTTATGGTCAAAGCTGCTCAGAAAAACAATTGTTTTAATCGTATAAAATACACTCTTGTGTTATTTAATTAAAATATTAAATACAAATTTTTCTTATAGTAAAAAATAAACATACAATCCGTATAATTGAAGATAAAATTTAACAGAATAACTAACATTGTGTGACGTTATAACAGTCTTATTGGTTATATTCACGCTTGATTATTTTCATTCTCAGAATTTGCTGCTGGAACATCACATTCTTTCTTGTCTAGCATTGATTCAGTTGCTGGATCTTGAATATTTACTATTCCATCCTTTTTTCCAAAACATTTTTTAATAATAAAACATATTAATAAGGGAATCGGCGTCATTAATGCAACAGCAACTGGTAGAACTAAAATAATCAACAGTTTGATATTATTTAATAATTATAACTATTTAAAAATAAATTTTTATTACCAGTTGTAATATCTGCAGCTGGCTGTCCCAGAGAAAATTTTAACATAAATATGGCAATACCAGTGTTCTGTATACCGGATTCGACTGTCATAGATATTATGTCTGGTGTAGGTAAACGTGCAACGATAGATGTTAATAACCCTATTAAATAACCTGTCCAGGGTATCACTGCACCTGCTAAAATAATCTAAAACATAAAATACATTAGAAATTTAATAATTCAATACGGCAAGCAAAATAAAAAAACTTACTTTCCAAGAAAATATTTTGAACAGGTATAAGTTAGTGACAGTGGCAAAGATAATTATAAATATTATCAAGCAACTAGACATTGGCTTCAGTATACGTGTCATAACTCGACTTACTCTAGGCATAAAACGCTGAATACAATACCCGATACACAAAGGAATAATTAATGCAACAATCGAGAATCCAATTCGGGAATACGGTACAGGCATTTCACCCACAGAAAAGATACGTTTACCAAGAAATATAATCCAAAATGGTATCATAACTGCAAAATAAAAATATATTTTTAAATTAATAAACAAGCAATTAAAGCAATGAATATTCATTTAAATTTTTATTTTTTAATTAATTAACTGTTTCAACATATGAAATTTTATTACAAAGTTGTGCACTTCATTACAGAAAAATTAATATTGTTTTACATTTTAACTCTACCCATTCTCCTCAATTTTGACATTTCATAACTCAACATTATATTACATTAATATAAATATGATTAAATAGCAGTAATAATTATTAATGTGTTTTAAGGCTATTAAGATATTAATTTTTGTAGTTATTTTCTAAAATACATACTAAATGATTCCAGGGTTCCAACAGTTGTCAGGACAATGCTGAGGTTAATATTACCACCCAAAAGAAGGGACCACACACTAGATGCGCCACCTCCAGGACTTATTCCCGTAAAAAACAAGCCCAATTGCATTGAAACTGAATTTGGAAATATTAACTTGGCATAAATAAAACTTAACTGAAATAAAATAAAACATATTAATTACTCTTATTATTAGTTAACTTTGTTAAAACTAACTTACTATTGGTAATATTAGAAACTGAGCAAAAAATGAAACTGCAGGAGCAATTGGTTTTCTAACACACTGTTTAAGTTGAGCAACATCTAGAGCACATCCTAAGTTAATAAATATAATAGTCATCAACACTGCCACACAAATGACAAATATCTTATCAATCAATTGTGGTTTACGAATTACTTTGATGTTCATGTGATCTTGGCTTGAATTTAAAACACTTATTGTATTATTTTCTGGAAAAAAGTTCACATAGTTCGGTTAGAAAAAACATAAGTTATTACAGTAGGTACATGAGTACTTCTACCATTGTC